CTCACAACAATGGCTGAGCGTAATTGGAGTTGTTGGACGTGCTTTACATCCACAAACAGCCGAGACGCGGTTTGCGATACATGTGGCAAGAAAGTGAGGTGTTGTGGCAACGCCACTAACCTTGTCAAACACCTCAGAGTAAATGATATCACCGAATATGACAAGCATATGTTGAGGCGAACTGAAGAGAAGGAGTGGGATAGGTGCTGAAAGAGCGAGACAGACGTCTCTCACGGAGTCCTTTAGTGCTGCAGGCAGGCAACATGTTCAAATAGCACAACTTCAGTTTTTTTTATTTCTATATGATGAATTCTGCATTATTAAATGCTAAGAATAAGTAATTTGATGTCCTGTAATCATGATGATGCTATAATTTGAGATACAATAAAAGATACAATAAATAAAATACGTTTTTGTACAAAGTATCGGTATCGGATCAGTATCGTCGATACCACCCTGAATTTTACTTGGTATCGGATTGGAAAGGAAATCAGCGGTATCGCACATAACTAGAGATCATAGCTGAATTTAGTACTTTTTTTAAAGGTGGGGCTAAAGATTTTAAAGTTGACTGGCAAAAAATAAATAAAAAAATAAAAAAATTGGAAAAGTCTGTTATTTAGTTTGTGGAGAAATTGGAAGAAGATATGCACTCTGTTTTCATTTTTTATACTCCGTTCATTAAATTGAAGCATACGCTATATATTTGGCAAATATAGCTTGATACATTTTATATATTTGATATACACATTTATACAGTTATATTGAAAAATATAGTAATGTTGGGCTTTTTAGTGTTTAGTATATGTGTCACGCTTGCATGTTTCAGATCATCACAAATTTTAATATAACGCTCAATTGCAGTTCTTGCTGCCACAACCAGTTATTAGGTTTAGGGAGGAATTACTTTTTCACATAGGTATGGATAGCCTTTATCCCTTAATAAATGAAATCTTCATTTAATAAAAATTTTTTTGTCTAATACTAAAATTTGTTTGATGAACACTTCAACAACACTAAAAACTCAGGAAGGGGTCGATTACATTTGCACAGCACTGTATAGTCAACTAAATAAAAAATTACTTTGTTCAGACTCTGTTGTCAATATAGAGCTCGATGCAGATAGAAGGTAAGATAAAAGTGTTACCAGAGAGCGATTATTGAATGTAAGTGTTTATTTGATGGTGGAAGAACTTTCATATAAACTCAGTTTATAACTCCAGCTTCATTTCTGTGGTTTTGCAGGAGAACACGTCGGACTGCGGGCGAGGTCACTCCTTCCGCCCATCCCTCTACACTTTGCTGCTCATTCAGCTGCTTCTGCTTTATCCAGCTGTCAGTCCTCACATTCTCTCCCTACTACATTAATTTCATTTTCCTGCACTTGTCCTCCTTTTCACCCTCCTTAGCTTCTGTCCCATCCTAAGCCCCCCTCATCCACCTCCTAGCCCCTTCGCCCTCCACCTTGGTATAGTCATAGGTAATTATGGGACTTCCCATCATGGTGAGTTGGAAGCCCTGAGCGCTGTGCTACCCAGCTTGCTTTGGTCTGTGTTGCTTTGTGAAAACAGAGAGACATTTGCGTCCTCACCTTCATCTGCAAGATGAGCTACGGTGGTGCTGGACCACTTGGATCATCAGAGGCAATGTCAGAAAAGAGATATCAAGCCACCCAACCACCCCGTCAAGCCTACAACCATCCCATCACCTTCTCCATCCAGACAAGGGAGGGTGAAAAGGACAGGCCGATCTCCTCGTCAAAGGCCTCCCACCACAGACTGGAGAACTGAGGTTGCGTGTCCACCTTCACCTCTGTCTGTCAGAGGGACAGCAGGACTCCTCCTCCTTCTCCTTTCCTCCATCTCAGAGTCTCATCGCTCTGTCATTTGCCTCTTGTAAGAGGCTGTGGACCATTCAGCCAGTAATAGCCACCATAGAAGAAAAATAGCAGAAAAATAAAAGAACTGTTAAGTATACAAAATGTCACGTATAAACTGCTGAAGTGATGAGTATTCTAAACATACAGTATATTTAGGTTTTAACATGAAAAGGAAGTTAAGTGTAAAAAAGACATGAATTAGTTTATGCGCTATATCTACTTGCCAAAATGAGATATACTTTCGTGTGGTCTTATTTTTATAGCCAAAACACGAAGAGGATATGGATTTAGATTTAGGATAAAGCTCGAGAGGAAGAGGAGACACTCGGCAGCTGAATGCTGACTCATAATTACAGATTAATGCTTTTAAAAGACATCCACTGGGGATTAACGTAATTACACGATGGTAATCTCATTTTCTTGAAGTATTTTTCCTCGTACTTACTATTTGAGGTTAGTGCTATCTGGCTTTTATTGTAAAATATGAATCAGTGTTCGGTTGCTGCAGGAACTTGTTGTGTAGTATTCTCCTTTACGATTAATCGACCACGCTGACCTCGGGTTTGGACTGATGTTTAAAGGGGGGAAAAAAAATCTCTGCACCCTCTGATGAAAAAGCTCACCTCTGCCACTCCTCATGAGGCTTCTCCAACAACCTCGACTAACGTTCCTAACCGCGATTTGTATTCGTGCTTTACTTTTGTCACACACTCAAATCTCCCCGCCATAGTAGTTCCAGTTTTTTTGTCCCTTCCTTTCTTCCTCGTCTGTGCTTGGGTTGGGGGGGGTGCTAATCATTTTTCTTTTGGTGTGTGCTTGTATTACCTTTGACTGATGCTGTTCAAACTTCAAAACCATTCGCTGCTGGGGGATAGGGGCTTATCAACATTTCCAACAAAAGTGCAGAAGAGGCCACTAAATATGGTGATCATGTGCAGTAAGTAGTGTGGTTGTAATCCATCGCAGTTTGTCATTTGATCATGTGTGAAAAGTCATTTTAGACTCCCATGTTTAGGAGCCGCTCTGTTTCATAGTGCCTTGATGCACTTTGTTTTGGAACGCATCGGCTGTATAAGAGTAGAGCTACTGTATAGTACCTTTATAAAGCAGCCGTCTTTGAGGCTTTGGACACTACAGGAGCCTAAGACTGAATCTGTTGGCTAAAGAAATAGCTTTACACAGAGCCATCAAACTGACTGGCTCGGCTTAATGTATTTTCCCCTCTTGGCTGTTGTTGCTGTACTCCTCCAACGCCACCTGACTGTCATCATATGGAGTTACTATACCGTTCCTTTACAAAGCCATGTATAGAGCTACACTATCAGTATACAGCGACTTAACTGGCCATAGAGCTTTTTCTGTGTTGTTTTCTTTTCCTTTCTTTTAGGGCCACCTGACTGCTATAGTTCTGCCTGAATCGTATGTGTTTGTGTGTGGATGTATGCGCGTTAGTTTAAAAACCCTCAAAGGGAATGTCTTTTTAAATGAGTCGTGGAGCGCTCGGGGGAAGCAGTTGTGCTCGTGTAACTGTTTTTCCTCGGCGTGTTGCGACAGACAAAAAAAAACAAACAGTGTTGCTGTGGAGAAAAGGGGGGGATTTTATGAAAACAAAAGGAGATCCATGTTGACTGCTTAAATATTAATATACGGGGGCAGAGGAGGCAGAAAGAATGTGTAGTTCATCAGTGTTTTCTGTTTCAAAACCTCGCTAAATGCCTTAGTGTTACACGTATGGAGCTCCGATACCCCCACATAACCCTCTTTCTCACACACAAATCGATCCTGAAATATTTCACTCCCCTGGGCTTTTTTTTCTTGGTGTTATGCAGTAAATATAGTGAGCTCTAATTTTATATTTTTACGTCTCGGAATGATTAGTTATCGATCGATGCCTGTTTGATTAAATGCTTGAAAGTGGGTGGAAGTTTTTAAAATTAAAAAAAAAAAAAAAAAAGACAAAGAAAAAAAAGCCTCTGACCTTCGATGTTCACATCCCACCCAAGACTTGCCGTAGTATTGCTCAGGTGGGATGATTCACTCGACATTTTGAAGCTTAACTAGACACTCTGTACAGTCGTAGGTACTATTTGATGTGACAAATGTTGCTGGCACAGTAACTGCAGCTCAGCTCTGGACAAATCAGAGGAAAAACAAAATTCATACTGTTAAAGACAATGAAAATCAGAATGAGCATTTCCAATGTGGCCCGTTACTATCTGATGCTGGATGCAGTTTCACTTTTCTGCCATCTGTTTGTCTCTGTCCTGTGCCACTATTCTGTCTGTATTTCTCTATTTCCACTGTCTGTAAATGAACGCTACACGTGCCTGTGGAAATGTACCCCCTGCAACTTACTCTCCTTTTCCTGACTGTGTGCGCACACAATCTCACTCCCAAACTGAATACACTCTGTGCACCTGCATTCAGACATTATGCACACACACGCACACACCTATAAGCAACCATGTAATGACACTGACTCATCCCCCCGCTGGGAGATGTCAAACACCAGGAAGAAGTAAGCCAAGGACGTCACCTTCCAGGTGTTTTTATTTTATTTTATTTATTTTTTCGTGAGCGGACGGGATGTCAGAGGCAAGCTCAGGGAGTGGGTCTCCACAGAGCATCACGAGCCTGGTAAACAGAAGGTCGTGGGAGAGACATCTAGTGACGTCTGTGTGTGCATCCTGATGGAAAATAGCTTCCGAAGGGACACACACGTCTGATTTCTGTGGTTTGACAAATTTAATTTTGCCAAAAAAAAAGGGAACATAAATAGATAATTGGACCAGCTTGGGGGACGAGAGGGAGGGGTCAGCTTTAAAACATCACCCTAAAGTAGATTAATGCGGGTTTTCACGAAGCGTCTCCCTTCCCCTCCACCGACCCTCGCTGCGACCCTTTGTGTTGGTGCGTCTATGTGGGAAAGACACGTGTGTATGTGATTCTGTAGTCTGTAGTCTGGTGCTATGTGACCATGTTTGACACGTGTGTGAAAAAAATAACAGCAACAATTTAGAGAGAGAAAAAAAAAAAAGAGTAAATTCAGTCAAACTTTCAGTGAAGTTTAAAAAAATATAGGAATACAGCACTGTTGATAAGTTTGAGATCTGATGTCAAAATGTTTTCTTTCTTTTTTTTGGTTTTTCTTTTCTTCCTCGTACGTGTGTGAGTGTGAATGTTTGTATGTGTGGAAGATTTAGCTCCTTCTTTTCTGGGCACTAGTCCATGTCGTCGCTCCATTCTTTTGTACAGATGAAGCTTAAAAAAAAGAAGAAGAAAACAAAAAAGAAGAGGGCAAAATTTGTAAAATATTGTGTCTGTGACTCCTTGTAAAATATTTTCAAATTGTTTATTACAGAGAATCAGTTATTAAATAATGTTCATATTTTTCACTTCATTTTATTGTGTGGTGTTTTGTTTTGTTTTTTTGGGCGGGGGGTAGAAAAATTCCCCAGTAAAAATTCCAGTCTGGCTGGAAAATCTGAAAGAGTGCGTAGATTTTGTAGCTGTTTTTGTGTAGGTTTTACAGATTTTCCTATTGATAAAGACAGCACCACATTGCTATTCATACTATTCTAAAGTCATTAAGTAATAGATAAACAATTAAATGACAGAAAAGTTCCTGCTTTTCCACAATCTACCCATCTATCTATACAAACATCAGCTGGGTAATGAACTAAACTGTCATTTTACATGTTTCTCATGTACTTTCACTGGGCTGACCCACTTGAAGTCGAAGCTGTTTGTGGCCCGTGATGTAAAATCAGTTTGACATTACCTGCTTTAACTCCTCGGTTAAATAGAAAACACACAGTCTGTCGAGAACCAAGCAAATATATAATAATTATAATGACGCTTTATTAAAAATATTCACTTCTAACGCCGGGATGAGACGATCAATACAACCCTGTTGTGTGTGAGTTCAATGTGTAGGCAGCTAG